TTAAAACACATCTGCATGTTTTCCCTCTTTGTGTCAAGAGCCAATCTGTATCTTCTTCCATTCTAGTTAGCATTCTAATTAATTAATCTGACGGCGATCCACATGCATAACTTCAAAGCTCCTTGAGCAATTCAAGAAAGGTTCAGTTATTCTCTCTTTTCTCCATCAGCTCTGCGTCGAATGATTAACGCTGATAACTTTCAAAAACCCACAGTGACTTGCAAATTAGCGGAAATGGTTGGAAGTGAAATAAAAGTTGATCCCCGAGTTGAGACTGGTGCAAATGATCTGTTGAATTAAAAAAAAGAAACATTGATGGTTAACAAGGCTTCTTACAGACGAGTTTTCCTTCACGTTGAAGCCACACTGGGGTTGCCATGTGCAGAACAATGGTTGCTATGTGTCAACACACACTAACAAAGGTGATCTGGTGTTTCACTGCTCAATATTGTAGCTCCCATAGAAAGGTAATACCATCGTGTTTACCTGTTACAGTGTAAGTACATCTTTTTTTTGCAAGGCGATTGCTATCGGTTACCGGTGAAGACAAACAGACACTATGCGAGGCCTCCATCAGTGACATCAAGTCAATTATTAAGGCCTGAATAAACTAGATTAAACGCGTTGACACTCTGACTCTATATTCTGGATTTCTCGGCTATTAAATCATCCATCCAAGTCCTTCGCTGGGATTTGTTGCCCTTCTGTGATAAATTAATCTATTATATTCTTCCGGAGCGTCGCTGACGGTCCTTGGTGGTTTGAACAACTGCGGTGATTAATCGTAACACCTCCACGAACAATTCAAGTAATAACTCTCTTCTTATCTCTCCACGAAGGTCAGTTGTTTTTTTCCCTTTTGCTCACGTCTCCTTTATCCAAATACTGACCACCCAAATGTAAAGCTCTGTAAGTTTCTCTCATTATCTTCACATTACAGAACACGATTCTTCATCCTTCAGAATTAGGTCAACCCCAACAACATATTACAACATGGCAAAGCCGCTCGTCGTTTGCGAGTACAGTATTACTTTGACGAATGAAGGGATTTTTCACATTTAAAAGAAACAACTTGTTTTGTAATGATTGAAAAACAAATGACCAAAATGGTAAACTTGGGACTTATGAGGGTGTTATTTATCTTAACACTCATTGCCAGTGTAAGTCTTCGGATGGATGACAAGTGCAATATCATTAATAATCAATACAGGGGATAGTAGTTGTTTCTCAGGAGCTGTGTACTCTCCCTCCCACAGGAACAGCAGAGCTTCCCATCTGCTAGGAGGGACTTGTGTTGAGTATTACTGGTATTGACAACCTTCTGTTCTCGGGGGCAACTTTGTTTTGATGCACAATTTTGAAAGTTAAATTCAGACCTTGAATCCGTGAAAGGAATTGGATGAGAACATTCAATATCCGAGAACAGCAGGCTGCGACAAAAATCACATTTTACTTGGCAGCATCTGCCTATTTGCTTATTGATTGTCTTCACACCTTTCCATCAGCATAAATCATGAATACGATCCTTTTTGGCAGCTGACTTCCCACAGAACATGAATGCATTACACAGGCAGGGAGACTTTTCAAATCAATCGCTGCATTAATATTCAAAAATAAGAACTCCAACAGAAATAAAATCAGCCGCTATAGTGCTTTAATGTTTGAAACAGAATTCGTGATTTGCCATTGGTTTCACAGTTTGACTTTGACTTCACAGCCAAAGTGCCCTTTCAGACTCACCAGCCGCTTATAAACTCCTGAAAAATGCCTTCAAAAAGAAATCAGCCTCAAAAAGAACAAGCATTATTTTAATAATGTACTTCTGGTTCAAATATTACATAACCTGCATTTGTCAAATGATTTAAGTCGGCATTTGTTCACCAGTGGAGTAGAAGATCCCATTGTATAACGGTGCATCCCACTTATTTATCATTTTAGTTTCTAAGGCTTATTTTTTTATAAAACAAAAACCGGTTTAGAGTTGCAGAGGATCACTTCTGAATCCCCCTTTGCCGTTTTAGAGTGCTACCTTTTTAAGTTTTTGTCCTGCACCTGACTGACAAACACGTAACATTTAATGCAGAGTAGATTCAGTGAAGAAACACGACACATTGATGTGGGGAACTAGAAGACCGACCAACAAAGGATAAAATTAGATGTGTAGAGTAATAATGGCAAAAATAGCTTTTGATTAAATAATGTAAGAGATTGAGAATGAGATAAATTATATATGGTCATAGCCTGAATTGCATTACATAATTGATGCATGGTCTTACATTATGTACCAACTGTCAACATGTGAGATGTGTTTAAAAAAATAATACAAGTGTGATTCTCAAACCACTTAAGGGCAAACAGAAAGGAGTGCTCCATGGGGACAATGCTGGTTTCATGGCTGGATTCGCATAAATCATGCATATCGCATTTCTCGACTTTTTTAATGTGAGGCACAGTATTTTTGTTGGAGGAAGTGTTCAAAATGCCTTGAAGTGATAAATTATCGGATTGTCAGATGTCACAGCAGACGTTACATGGGCCTCATACACACAGGGTTATTTTCTGACTTTTATTTTTATTTTTCAAGGTCAAGGCAAGAAGCTCTGCTTTTAAGGTTGATGGTAAATAATGTCCGTGACTCATTTAACACCATGTTGGCTGTGGCTGTTATTGATGTACTTGCAACAGAGACAGTAAAAGCAGGACTTAATAATTGTAGTATTTTCGCTATGCATTTGACTTCCAGGTTAGATGCCATTAGTACAACTTAGTTCTGTATTAAAAATTTAACTGCTTTTTACTTCACATTTAGCTGTAACTTTTCCTCTGCGGTGCAGGTGTGAAGCCTGGGGGGGGATTGGAATGAACCAACGGGGGACCATTGGTGAGACATCCCTTAAAAATACAGTGTCAAAAATTGGGAAATGTGAACAGGCCTCGAAAATGTTTGGTGATGATTATTAAAGAAATGAATGCAAAAAGATAAATGAACCACCCACTCCATGCATGGAGGCTGTTAAGTGTTACTGTTCGGGAGAAAATTGAGTTTCAACAGCGGCTGAGATGGAGCCACAAAATTAGTTTACAAGGACAAACACTCATCTGGTGAAGAACTCCTCAAAAGCATTTGGTTTTTAATACTCTCGTGTTACGATTTGTCATGAAGAGCACGTCACTCATCTGTTTTGTTGCGTTGTTATTCGAACACCATTTATTGATTATGAAAAAGTATACATTGTGGAACATTTACATGCGCTTTATAAAAACTATACACCTTGATCATCTTGTGGCTGTTTTTCCAAACAGCTGCAAGAAAAAAGTGTCACAAAAGATCTAGTGTGCATCAGAGAGCCTTGGGAATATTAAAATATTGAATATTTCTTACATTGTGACCACAAAAGTTATCGTCTTTTTCACGAAAAAGCAGTTTTCTTAAATAGTAAACTGCTGTTTTTTTCTGTTGCAAAACAGCTGACACCTAAACCGAAGCAATTAAATGATCGTTAAAAGAGATTGAGATTGAATCTCTAATGGATTTGTTTGTTCTATCAGCTATATATCACATAGGGAACTGAGCAAAGTCGAGTCAATAATAAGACATGGTCCAATGATCTGACCCCAAAAAGTCAGGATTATTATGTAAAAATGAAAACATTAGCACATTGCACCATACTGATAAATTACATTGCGATAGATAAGAGCCATTATAATGACAATTAAAGAAAAATAAAATGTGTCCTTTATTAATCCCAATGGAAATGATTCTGTGCTTTTAACCCAGCAAAGTGCTGCCGTGAAGGCTCCCCGGAAGCAGCGATGGGTTGGGTGTCTCGCTAAGGGGCACTTCTACACTGGACATGAAGCATCCGGGATTCTGACCATCAACCGTGGGGCTTACAAGCGCATCCTCTACTCAATGCGCTTTAGTCGCCCCCCAAAAGAAAATCCTTTGAGTCTATGTGTAAAAAAACATCTCTGGAGTCTACGCCACTAATCAAAAGACTGTCCTGTCACAACGCCTGAACCAGACCAAGCCTGAAAACAAAACTGAGGAGAATTCACTAACTACTGTTTCGGGTTAATTGCACTTGATCAGTCAGAATACGGTGAGGAGCGGAGTGTCGTCAACCACACTAATGTTTTGCAGTGTGCACCGAGGAGGTAGTGCAGCCCGGAGGATCGTGCAAAGGATGCCCACGAGGCTGTGGGAGCTTTGAAAAGGTAGGCATTTTGGAGAGGAAGCAGATGGCCCACATTAAAAGCAAAGGGCCCTTGTGACTGTCGTCGATGGCCCTGCAGAGAACTGGGTAATTAAATGAGAAATTTAATCAGATTCCACAAATTAAATGTCCAGCTGGATGGCTCTGCAAAAAGACCACCGACTACACATTTACCTAAGGGAGTGTCATCGGTGGATGCATAATTCTCCAATCAGCACACACTCATACATGATGATATTCCAGGTGATGATTACTGCTAAAGTATTCCATTCACAGCTCTGCCAGCAGGAGGCAAAGGGACATCAGTGTGTGGCCGCTGGAGGGTCGTTTTAATAACGAGGCTTGGGAGGAAGCGACAAAACGCAGAGATAACAGGACGGGGGTTGGAATCAGGGGGTTTAGCCGGAGAATACCCCCCTCCACCCCCCCTGTTGAGCTAAGGCCCGTAGCGGTGTTTCGTGAAATGGCCTCGGCCGTTTTTCTGTTTGTTTTTTTCGGTCCGTCATGTTTGATGCAACGTTGAGAGAAGGAACAGCAGCGCAGCCACGTGCGGGCTTCAGTGGTTTCGAACGGTCTGACACGAGCGACCCTGCATATCTGGAGTCTGCCCACATCCGCAGCAGCATAAAACCCGAAACCAGACTCCGGGTCCATTTCGACCGCTTTTGCACTCAGTAAAAAAAAAAAAAAAATCCAAGACCCGCCTCCCCTCCCTCTCTCCCTCCCCCTCTCTCCCTCCCCCCCTCTCTCTCTCTCTCTCTCTCTCTCAGCCCGTCCTGTAGACGGGACCAGCAGGCTGATATCCATGCGTGCCTGACCGCTAGTCCACTTCCTGGGTGGAGGAATGGGACGTTTCCAGCGCAGCTTTTCTTCTTCTTCCTCGCATTGTGCGGTGCCCTTCGTCACGCCGACAACGCGGATAAGCCCCCAATAATGACCGCGTGTAATCGATATTATTCGACCACTTTCTTTCTTTTTTTTCTTTTCTTTCTTTCTCCGATGTAGTTAAAAAGACAGCGATTGATCGCCGATTGACCCTCCGTCACTACGGGAATGTCGCTATCTGGAAGCCCGCTACAGGCACGCCGGAGTCCAGCACATTTTCAACAGTTTTTTGCACGGCGGCAGCGTACGTATCGCGTCGTTCCTCGGGAGCTAAAAGCAGCCTCTGCTCGGACCGGAGGCCAATAAATTCGTCGTTTTAGAGAAACCAACAACCACAACAACAAAAAACAGCGACTGTGGCGAACCGCTAAGCGTTACTTTGATGCTCTGCCTCCGCGGCCGCGGTGCCAACTTCGTTTCTGGCTCGTCCGTGTGTATGTGATTGCTTTTTTTTTTTTTTTGAGAGAGAGAGAAGATTAAAATACTCCTTAACTTTGTCACCCGTTGCCCTCTCGTCGCTCTCCATGAGTAGTCTGACATGCGGAGAATACGGGAACCGAGTTACTGGTGGATTTTATCCTTGATGTTTTTAACCTTGCCCAAACACAAAGACTGTCATCCCGGTAAGTAACTCGCATCGCGGCTTAGCTTCCACTCCTGTAGCCCAACTCCACTGTGTTGACTTGTGTTGTGTCATATTTTGTTGTCCAAGCGACTTTTTAAAATAATTTAAATGTCGAATCCAGCCATTTTTTGTCTTCTTCCAGAGGCACCGTAGAGCCACTAACGGTTAACAGGGCCGAGCCGGCTCCCAACGGCCAACGGTTCCGTTTGACGCCGATGCGTTCAGGCTCCGTGACTTTGAGTGCATGGCATTGATTATCCCCCGCCTCTTAACGCCTAATTCCGGGCTTTAACAACTAACGTTTTATCCTCAAAAAACTAGCACGCCGGTGACTCATCAATCCACCCGTTCCAGGAAACTATCAATCCCGTGGGCACTTAGGACGTGTTGTGGAATTGCCTTCGAGATACTTCGACTTGTGTGCAATTAGGCGGCAATGTCTCGGAACTGTTGAACCCGCCAGTTGTGTTGCGGTTTTCGCAAAGGAGTCCTGAAGTTTTTTTCTCCTTGGCTTTACTGTGGCTAATGAGGAGGTTTTAGTCCACGTATCGGCGCGCTGTCATGTGCGTAGGTAGGAAATGAGGATGGATAGTTAGCGCTGTTGGCCCTCGGTAGGACGCGCATGTATGAGGGGCAATTAATGCCGCGCAGTCCTCGGACAATCGCCTTCGGTTAGTCCACCAGTTGGGGGGGGGGTGAATAGTGTTCAACCGTAGTTTGTGACCCGTGCGATTCTGCGCCACGGCAGATGGAAGCGTTAGTGGTGAATGGGTGGTTGCATGTTAACAGGTGAGGGTTATCATTTGGGTGGAGGGGTAAGTAATGCACGCGCTGTGACGCACCGACGCACCTTCCACGAGGTTTTGCCAATGGCTCCAACATATGTTTTGGGTTGGGTTACCTATATTGATATTTTGAGTCTGCATCAAATAATCATTTATAATAAATTGAATAGTATGACATAATACAATACATGTATAATCCATATTATTTGTTGTTTAATGAAATATTTGTGGAAAGGTCCGTTATTTGCTAAGCAACACATTTTCCACTTCTAAAATGAATGTAGTGCACTCTTGTGGTCAAACTATGTGATGTTACTCAAATTTGGATTGCATCTCTACCCGGCAAATTTCTTACTTGTTAGCATGCAGACTAAAAGATATCTGATAAACTACTGTGGTCCGGCAATAATCCCCCGTGTAGTTTATCAGTCTGGTTGTATCATCACGCCTTTAAAAGAGCAACAAAACGGTGATAACACCTTTCTTAGTTCTTATGTTAAATTTAACCCGAACAAGGAAGGACTTGGAAGTTCATTGGATGTTTTTTATTCTAGGGCCCGAGTCGTCCCCTTACAGTAAAGTCGTGGTGATGTAACACAGGAGAATGGTTCCTCTCAGTCACACCCTCGACCCCTGACCCCATTCCCCAAGACCCCCCAAGATTTCTTCGTTTGCAGCTCTATTGGGTAGGATACTGCCTTGCAGGGCCCCAACACGTGTCATATGGCGTGTCTCCACCCGACGCGCAGCAAACCACCGGCAGGATGGTGGTGGAGGATAAATCCAATGTTACTACTTGTACACTGTCTCGTAATGCAGGCGTCTACCGGCTAGGCCGGTTGACCTAAATCTCAATCATGTGAATTTAGAGTTTACATCATAGAGAGTCTTACCAAACCCGGTGCTTGATCACATGAAAAGAGAAGATTTGTAAGGGACGGGGATTATTTTCGTCTTCCTAAATCAACGCACACGGGATTTACGGACATAGCCGTCTATAAATCTGGCATGATTTTTTTTTTTTACGACATCTGAGAGAATTCTGTGTGCAGCGTATGTGTAGAGGCAATGAATTCTAAAAAAAAATGGTCACCCCTGTTTGTAAAAAGCAGTCTTCCATGTCTTTTTTCTCTCTCGCACAAATGTGTCTCATGTGTTCATCTCTCCGATATTTCACTCCCTACAATAAGAAAGAGCTAAACAAATCTGTAAGTGGAATATGTCACGTTTCAGTCGGTAAGGATTGTACTTGTCTGTTTGAAAGTTGTGTGGGTGGAATTGCAGCTCGGTAGTCTTTGTAAGAAGCGGAGCTGGTCATTAATTATAGACATTCCCGTGATTGCATCACTTAAGTAATGCGAAAATGATTGCATGTTCTGTGAATACGGCCATACAAAAATGGAGAAAGGCGTAAAGCCTCGTGGTACAACTCTGGAATAATTTACTGCGAGGAAGAGGACCTAAATGATCAGCATTTTTGCTGAATTGAATAAGAAAAGCAATTACTACCTTCTGACAGGCATAATGACCTGTCAAAAAGTGCGCTCTATTTTAAGAATGTCCTTTTAAGAAATAACCAAAAAAAAAAAGCCACTGTCACTGTCCACTGCGAGTACAATGTTGGTGAGCAAACACGCTGTTAATGTTATTAATGAGGTCCCGATGTGCCGCTGTGCCAGCAGGACGCCAGCTGTCCGGACAGCCCTGATGTTGGCGACGCTGCCATCATCAGCACCGCGGTCCTCCTCCTGTACATTCTCTGGATAATTGGCTGGATGAACAGTACTGAAGAAACGCCTCAAAAGCGACGGTCTCCTTGTTTGCGAAAAAACGGCGTCAGTAAAATAGGCCCCGCCTCGGTGGCGCCGGCGCGCTCTTATCTGCCGTCTCTCCACCAGCTGCGCGTGCCACCGTCTAAATGCTCCGATGGGGAAACACTGCAACTGTAATCGCTCTTCACTTGTGCAGATTATTTGCCGTTTATCCTATTTCGCTAGTGATACTCCGCTTTTTGCATTTTGCTTTCAAGTTTAATGAGCGGCTTATCAATGTGTAATTAGCCTGGATACACTTTCGGGGGGGATAAAAATGTATTTACTGTTACTAAGGAAAGCGGTAACTTGGGGGGTTGGTAATTGTGGTCCAGCTGTGTCCAGCAGCGGGTCAGCAGCTGGATTCATTTCTCTTTCCCAACGACAGCCTGGGACACGAGCTACACTTTATCCTTCAGTGTCCTCCACAAAATGATGCTCACTGGTGGGATGAAGTCGGTTTTGTTGATGCTATAACACGCTTCTTTGAGGAAAAAAATAGGATACAAATATTAATTGAATGACATTTAAGATACCCTGGAGCTAAATTGAAACCATTTTTTTGGGGAGACTGCTAAGACGGTTGAAAAAGCGAGACAAACTTTCCCCGAATAATTCAAAGTTCAAATGGATTTCCTGTGTGAATGATTTCTTTCGGGTTGAATGTTAATGTTGCAGAGTGTCCCGACTGACTTTCTGAAATATTGGTCATCATTTCTCTGGATGTAGCAGGCCGAGCGTAAGTAAACATTCTCAACCCTGTATTAGTTTCAGAATTTACCGTTCTTTCGGTCGCTTTTTCATCAGCTTTTTGCCGTTGAGGCTGCTCATTCAAAATACTTGGTCATGTATTGAGCTTTTTAAAACGAAAATACTCGCTCGGAAATTCCCACGCTAGATGTAACATTGCTGTGTCCTCTGACAACAAAGAGACATCTTAAGCACTAAGAAATCAAATCAATAGCCGTGTTTATTTTTATAGACCATATTTCCGCGACATAAAATGCTACTATAAAATGATGAAAGTGCAGAATGCCGGCAGTTAGAGGCTGTGCGGCTCCTTAAAGGTGCCCTCTACAGTTCCCCCGTAAACAAATGTGTCATATTTGCATTTAGCGTTATTTATCAAAAAGGATTATTCTAAAGGTCTAGCAGATTGTCTGAATGTGTTGACTTGATCATGACATATTCTGTCGAGCAGATAAAAAAAAAAACCCAAATAGGATTCATCTGGATTCTAGCTATGATATTTTCGTCTTCCACGTGTCGGCGCTTCATCAGCACGAGGATGCGCTCAGATTGGGGAAACCGCTCGTAAACCCACGGGCTGGTGGCGCTACGAGCAGTTAGGAACTCAACAGGTTACATTGTCACAAGTCATTTTCAGTGATTTCCCCCTGCAAGGTGCGTGTAGAATACACACCTGCTTTCAATCCTCACCGCTCTTTAGTTGGATGTTGTTGTAATTGAATTAGAAGAGGATCAATACCTGGCGTATTGTTTCCAGGAGCCCGGAACGTAACCCGAGCAACCGCCGGAGATTAATGGCGAGGTCGTCCTGTCTGGAAACGCTGGCATTGATACCGAAGTGGAATGTTTCAGTTGATATGAGCCCAACATCACGAGAACAATGCTTTTATTTAAAGGGTAATTATAATCATTTGACATTAATTGTGATGAAGCTGTTTATTTGTATAACTTATGTTAATCAAGGCAATCAGTCATCACTTCATTACTTGGTGTGCGCGGTTGAGTTCACTCGGTCTTCAGCCAAGATACTCCGAGCTGGTCACAGTAGCATTTTAATCATTTAGAATGACTCACAGCCACTTCACACCGAATCATTTCATCTGTCCTAGCAACACGCCACAAAAAAGGCTCACGCACACACACACACACACACACAAACCAGATTAGACCGAGCTGGTTGAAACAAGGGAGGATAAATGCTTTTGGGAAAACGAGTGTACTTATATCCGGGGCTTCATGACAATAGTGATTAATGTCCAGGCAATAAGGCACAGTCGCTGAAGGATGTACTCTGCTGCACTCAAGGACTTTGCCATATCAATAAACGTCCCGTGTCCTTCGGTCGCCACGTCCTCTTTCCCCTTTAACGGCCTTGCCCGAGACGTAAAAATGGCGTCGGCTTTACTTACAGCTTGGACTGTCAGTCAACTCTGCCCCTGTGGATGCTGGACACAATGGGACCCCTCAGGCTACAACCCCCCCCTTCCCCACAGCCCCCACCCAACACCTTCCCTCCCCTTTCCTGCTCTGTGCTATTGTGGGTCACACGAGCATGTGTTCAGCTTTGTGCTCCCGAGATTGTCTTTTTTCGGAGGCGAGGAAAAGCAAATTCAAAAGTAGGCTTTCCCATCGGCGAGGCTCCTTTTCTCCGC